ATACAGAATGGTACAACCACCGTGGAAAGCAGTATAGAGTTTCCTCAAAATTAAAAATGGAACTTCTGTTTGACCAAGGATCCCACTTCTGAGAATATATCCTAAGAATCCCAAAACACCAATCAGAAAGAATATATGCACCTCTATGTCCATAGCAGCATTACTTACAATAGCTAAAATATAGAAACAGCCCAGTGGCCATCAATGGATGAGTAGATAAAAAAAAGTTGTCCTACATTTATACCAGGGAACAGTATGAAGCCATAAAAAAGGATTTCTTACCCCTTGTGACAGCATGGATGGGGCTGGAGAATATTATGTTGGATGAAATAGGCCAGTCAGAGAAGGACACATATCACATGATCTCACTTATATGTGGAGTCTAATGAGCATAATAAACTGACTAACAAAACAGGCCCAGAAGCATGGAATCATGGAACAGGCTAACTTATTTCTGAGGCAGGTTGGGGGCTGGGAGATGGGAAGAGACTAACCAAAGAACTTTTGTACATATACACATAACCAACAGACACAGACAATAGTGTGGGGGAGGCCTGGGGTGAGTGAGGTAGGGGCTTACAGGAGGGGGACTAAAAAGGGTGGAAATTGGAGGACATCTGTAATACTGTCAACAATCAAATCAAATAAAATAAAATAAAATAAAATAAAATAAAATAAAATAAAATAAAATAAAATAAAATTGAAAAAATGCTTTCTACAACCATCTATCGGCCACATTCTGTGGACTTTCACTTTAATCAAATAATGTTCCTCCACAGGTAAACCTGGAACTGAGGATTTGTATCAAAAGCTTGGAGCACAAGTTAGAACTCTCCTCTTTTATCAGCTATCAAATTATGGAAGATATAACAGCTGATATTCATACAACAGCTGATAATACAATCAATGTGTGAGCGATTTAAAATGGAAGATTGTAGGATCAATCTCAACACTAATTTCATGAAACATTTCCAGGACTGAGACCCACTAATATGAAAAATGTAAAGCTCCCACAGGTGGTTTTGTTACAGCCAGCCTGATACCTATTTCTAAGATTTCATTTGTGGTGACTGTCCTAGGCCAAGGTGGTTCTCAAAGACCAGAGAGAAAGCTCTGGGATCAGCATGGGGAAATGTCCCTATGACTACACAAGTTTTTTTAAAACTAGTCATTTTTGTCCGGCCAGTGAGGCTCCATTGGTTGAGCCTTGTCCCATGCACCAGGAATTCCTCTATTCAATCCCCAGTCAGGACACATGCTCAGGTTTTAGGCTGAATACCCTCTAGGGGGCATGCAGGAGGCAGTCAATCAATGTTTCTCTTTCATAGATGTTTCTATTTCTATTTCTCTCTTCCTCTCTCTGAAATCAATAAAAATATTTTTAAACAAATAAGTAAACTAGTCATTTTTATGAAGTGCCAGCAGCAAAAGCAAGCACTTTTTTTGTTCTTTATTTATGACCATTCATTTTATAAAACAAAAGAGAAAACATCTGAAAGTTATTAAGATAAAGTTCTAGAGAAAGCCACATCTTTCTGCAAGGCCTTGCAAACTTTTATCTGTGGACATGTAAATGGAAGTTTAGTTCAAACTGTTTCCTGGAATTCCCTCTACACAGATTCAGGTCTTCATGAGTCGTCTGAGTGAACATGTGAATAGTCTCCCAGATGTGGCCTTAACCAATTCAAGAACATCCCTGCCTAGTAATCAATTAGTTAGAGCATCCTCATGATAAACTAAGTTTGCAGATCTCATCCCCATCAGGTCACATACAAGCATTAACAAATGAATGCATAAATTAGTGGAACAACAAATTGATCTCTCTCTCTCTCTCTCTGTCTCTCTGTCTGTCTGTCTCTCTGTCTCTCTGTCTCTCTGTCTCTCTTTCTCTCTCTCTGATACACACACACACACACACACACACACACACACACACACACACATCAATCATTAATCGATAAATCAATTTAAAAACATTCAGATCCAGATACATAAATTCTTCTCCACTTTCTAAGATATAATGTCAGAACCTGCCACAAAACTATGCTTGAAAGAAATTTGAAAAAGCAGCAGCAAACTTCTATTCTGATATACAAGGAGAAAAACAAAATAAGTTGAGAAGATTCTGGGTTGAAAGTAAACAGTGCAGCACATGGATATAGAAAGCTGTTATGTATATTTATTTTTTAAAAGTATTTTAAAACAAATGAGAACTTATTGGAGATTTATTTTGCATTTTGTGTCACACAAGAAAATTTAAAACAACATTAAGGGGAGATATTTGTTACATTTTTATTTTAATGGCTTTTTAAATGCATGATTTTCATAAAAACAAATTTCACGCATTTAATGTAAACAATTTTATAAGATTATACATTTATAGATACTGTGAATCCATTACCACAACCAAGATATCATATGAAAGGTATATTGAATACATTTGATTTTGTTTAACTTGTTTGTTTTAGTAACATTTTTGTAGATACCATTGGATTGTCTACTGGATAATTGTGATGTCTGTGAACTAAGATAGGTTTACTTCTTTCTTTTCTAATTATATGTCTTTTATATTTTTCTCTTGCCTTATTACACTAGTGAGAACCACTAGTACCTCTTAAATTCATGAGTTATGAGCCAAAATTCTTGAGCTTAGGGGGAAGCATTCAGTCTTTCACCATCAAGTATGACATTTGATGTAGGTTTTTGTAGAGGTCTTTTATGAAGTTGGAGAAATTGCCTTGGATTCTGGATTCACTTGGAATTTGTAATGAGGAACAGAGGCTGGATTTGTCAACTGCTTTTCCTGTACCTACTGAGATTACTCTCACTAATTGATCAACTGTTGATTATCAATCTCTTTGTATACATTATTCATTAATTGTCACAACAAAATATTAAAGAAGATATAACTTCTTCTATTCAACAAATAATGAGACAAAGTTCCCAATTGCATAGAATGCAGTTTTTAATACAGTTTCCTCTGATAGCAACAATCTGTTTCCTGGCTTTTTTACCACTAATTATTTTCAGAGAAAATTTGAGAGAAAGCCTAGAGGATAGAAAAATTATTTCTTCAGCCTTTGAAATATCTTAAGACAGTATGTTAACAGGTTCTTTATTTATGCAAAAGGAACTAACAACAAAGAATTAAATAATTATAGTTTTGGCTTTGTCACACATACACACAGAAAAAAAAGAGAGAGATGAGAAAAAACAAGGACAAAAACTGCAATTCAGAGGCAAACCACTATGTTGTGTCTTGACAATTCCTTTAGACCAAGTAGTAGACACTTGATTGAGCAATCACTGCAGCAAAAGTGTTACACTCTTCCAGACTTTTGTGAATCTACAGGAAATGGAAATATCCTGCATGGCTAGTTATCACTCTCTTCTTCTGTTCTTATAAATTTGCTTGTAATAAAGCAGTATGGACCATAGTTCTTCAAATTATTCAGTATAAATTTCTTTAAAAAAAAAAATTTAACCCTAAGTGCTGATATATGTATACATGTTTTCACCAAAAGTTGGAAGCAACACAAATGCCCGTAACTGATGAATGGATAAACAAATGTGGTATATTCAGACCTTGGAATATTAGCCTTCAGAAGGAAAGAAATTCTGACACATGCTGCAACATGGGTGAACATTGTACTAGGATATAATACTAGATGAAATAAGTTACCCTATGACCAAGAGTGCACTAGTCCACTTTATGAGGCATTTGAAATAGTAAAATCATAGAAAGAGAACTCAAATGGTAGTTGCCAGGGGCTGGAGGGATAGGGGGAATCAAGTGTTACTGTTTAAGGAGTAGAAATTTTCAGTTTTTCAAGATGAATAGAGTTCTAGAGATAAGATAGTGGTGCTTCTTGGTCGACAATGTAAGCATACTTGATACGACTCAATTGTACACCTAAAATGGTAAAAATTTACATTAAAATGGCAAAACGTTAATAACTGAAACATTTTAAAGACACTCCTTTTCGGGTTTCTACTGCATACATCTGCTTTCCAAATCCTGTATAGTAAAAGGTTAATATGCAAATTGTCTCTTTGACCTGAGTTCCACCAGAGAAGGGGCTGACCTGCCAACTGCACTTAGCCCCACCCCCCAGTGGGCCCAGCCTGATAGGCCCAATCAAGGCAGACTGGCCGGACTCTACCCAGGCATGAATTCATGCACTAGGCATCTAGTGTAAACAATGAGTGTAAAAATTGAGTACAATACAAGGTCACTTATGAAAAACCCATTATCACTCAAGCTATAAGGCAGTAAGACCATGGGGTTAGACATAGAAGGAATAAATATTAGAGAATGAAGTTTTGTGGATAGTGGAGCACTGATAAGACAAAGGAAGAAGGGAAGGAAGTGTGCAAATGTGCAACATGATGGCAAAAAGCTTTTAGAAGTGTAGTAAGTTTAAGGACAAGAGTAGAAAAAAATAACTCACACTCTGATTCTTCACAATGTTTCCTTAGCACTAATTATTGATCATTTTATGAGTAGGACTGATTAGAAGCAGATAAATCTTGAGCACTTCTATGCTATATTATTAATAAGATGGAAGAAAACAAAGTTTGTCACATAGTAGGCACCTTAGAAAGTAAATGAGGGTACCTTACCTCAGTTAACAAATATAAACTAAACTAACTCATTGAAAAATATAAAAAGCATAATATAAAAAAACAAAAAACAGAAAGATTTCATAGCCTTCAGTTTTAAAATCAATGCCTTTAAAATAAAATATACTCAATAAATATTTATTGAACAAATATATACGATGAATCTGACAATTTTACATAGTTTTACTGATTTTTGAGTCAGATGTTTCTGAATTTCCTTAGTCAATTCTTCTAGCTCAATCTGTCACCAAATGGTAACTTGTTTATTGTGGTTCTTCTTTTTGTCCAATAAACTATTTCAACCCAAACTTTCAAAGATATTGATGTTTTTGATGAATGATAACTCTATACATGGTCCATGAACCTAAAGTGTTTTCCCACCAACCCTACCTACACCCTGACCACTTCCTGTCTGTGATTACCATTCCCTGCCTTGTTCCCTACAGCAGGTGGATGTCTGAAGCAGAGCCCTGGGGTTTTGATACACCTTCTTCTAACACGCCTCTCACTGTGGGCTCCCTCAGGGCACAGAAATACACTGCTGAGTCCTCCAGCTGTGAAGCTGAGATGACAAGGTTGGCAGAACTCTTTGCTTTCTGAAAATTCAGTGAGTAGCGGCCTCCTGTGGCATTTTGCTGGCTGTAAGAGTCCTGACGAATAAGGAAAATCATTGCCCCACTGCTGAGATGCTTGTACCAGAGGAGACTATAACTTGTTTTGCTGGTTTCGTATGTGCAATCCAGGCTCACAGCCTCCTTCTCCTGAACCAGTAATGCTTGTTGGCCTTGAGTTACCTTCTGAGCAATACTGGATCCTGAGAGGAAAAAAAGATAAAACAGAATGTTATAAGGATAAGTGATATGGGACAGAAAATAATTATATATATATCTATATATCTATATATATAGATATATATATATATCCTTTTTCCCCCAATTGACCCCCACTCCGGGAATGCCCCTGCTGCCTGGTGTCTGTGTCCATTGGTTATGCTAATATACATGCACAGAAGTCCTTTGGTTGTTCGCTAACTCCCCACACACACACACACACACACACACTTCCTCTGCCATTTGTCTCTGGATCTATTTTTGTTCATCAAATTATGTTGATCATTATATCCACATATCTTTCTCTGACTGGCTTATTTGGCTTAGCATAATGCTCCCCAGTAATATCTATGCTGTTGCAAATGGTAAAAGTTCCTTCTTTTTTATAGTGGAGTAGTATTCCATTGTGTAGATGAACCACACAAAAAGAACGTTTTTTATACCCAGCCAGTTTTCCTTCCCAGGCTACTCTTAAAAGACTGCCGATACCCCTGTTGTTAGGCCACAGAGAAGTCTAATTCCCACTGGGGCATCCTTACCTATCCACATTGATGTTAAGACCACCCTCAGAAGACTGGAAAACAACATGTTCAAGTTCTCCTAGGTGGAAAATATCTTCTTTTCCTTCTTCAGTGTTAGGGCTCTGCAAGGTGAGCTGACTGACAGATGGAGAGGAGAAATGCTGAGCTATGAGCTGCTGCTGCCTCAGAACAGGAAACAGGGTTTCTGGGGCAGCATGTTGCTGTGGGTCATGTCACACTTTCTATGTACTGGCTGAGAGCTCACCCAACCCAAACTCCCTTTTGCATTAACTAACTCTCTTCTAATTTTATTTTTCAGTTGCCCTTATGTTCACTATTATTTTGTTTTTATTTCAGTTTTATAGTTTAGTAGTTAGACAATCATACACTTTACAAAGTGTTCTCTTGGATACTTTCAGTACCAACCGGGTACCATACATAGTTATTATAAATTTTTTACTATATTCTTTGTTCTGTACTTTACATCCTAGTGACTATTTTATAACTACCAATTTGTACTTCTTAATCTCTTCTTATTTTCTTTTTTTCCCACCTGGGTCTGCAACCATGCTCCTCTCTGGCACATTCCTAGGTTGCAGTTTTGATCCACGATGCAGTCCCTACAAAGGCAACTGGTTGATGTTTCTCTCTTACATCTATGTTTCTCCCTATCTATCTATCTCTCCCTCTCTCTCAAATCAATAAAAACATATCCTGGGTAAGGATTTAAAATGTGTTTTAAATATTGATGTCAAAAGAGTTAAATGGGAATTTTCTACCACTTCTGTCCTATCTCCTGCCCCCCCCCCAAAAAAAAGCAATGTTCTCAATTATACACTAAACAGAGTGCCTGTAGAGAAGCTCATGAATCTAGCACAAAAGTTACACTGTGTGAGAAGAATATTGTGAGAACAGAAATATCTGAGATTGGTAGCATGTTAAAGAGAAAGAGGACCGATTTCATTTTTCCCTAGTCACTCCTTCCCCTGTGCAGCATAGTGCATGCCAATAGAAATCTCCTGGACCTTGATTTTCCCAGAGCGAACAGTGAGATTGTGTGAGTGAGCCCCTGGCTCTCCCACTTTAGAGGAAGCTGCCAAAGAGGCTCGCCTCATCAAAGAAATTCTTGCCCCATTCAATACTGAGGTGAGCTGCCCAGCTGGGAAGTGGACAGTTACCAGTGCACATAGGAACAGCATCCAAGGTTCTCAGTGAGTATTAAAGGGACACAGATCCCATTAACTGCAGCACAGACAGACAGACAGACAGACATCAGGAACCTGCTCACGAAATGCTGGACACACCTTGCCTGCAGATTCCCACTATTGGTCCATGAGCACCCCCAATGCTCAATGCCTTACCCACACACCATGCCACTTGGTGGGCAGCTACAAGAGCACACAGGAGGGCAACAAGAGTCAGCCTCTACAGATGGCTAGTTTGTAGGCTCAGAAAGGGTCCCGTTCTGCAGGACTGGGTGACACCACACAAATTTGAGCAGTCAGCACCAGGCTAGGGAAAGCAAGCAAACAATAGGGAAGCTGTCAACACACAGTCTGGTTTTGCAGATGGAAAAAAGGCCATAATGTTTGCAGTTAATTGTCTAAAAAAGAGAGAAAACCTCTGCAGGGAAGGTTTAATGTTTAAATGAGTCTAAGTATGTACTGACTCTGCATCTCTGACCAGAGGGTCCATTCTTTCATAAAACAATTCCCATGTGTATGTGCTAAAGCAGTTAAGTCCATAGTAATTGTGCCTTCTCTCCCTCACTTCTAACTTGGTTTAGGAAGAATAAACCAATAAAATAAAAGCCATGCAACAGGCATCCCTTTTCCTGTCTCCCAGGAAATGGACCAATCAATAGGTATTTTGCTTTTACTGGACTGGAGCTAGTGGTTATAGGGAGGAGATAATAAAACTCAATGAGGTGTTGGGCTACAATAGGAGTCTTTGTTGTTCCCTTGTTGTGCATCTGGTTTACTGTGATGCCTTTCCTTATAAGAAAAAAACAATTAACTAATAACTGACAACCATAACTCAGCCCAGAGCAATTATCTCACCACACCAGTCACCAATTTGTTAAGAAGAATATAAGAGCTCTTGAAAATAACATATCCTGAGGACCACAGGTGGAATAATTGGGAAATTAATGATTAGTGCAACATTTTTCATTCCATTTATTTATCCATAACATTAAAAGAAGTAACTTTTTTAAAAGGTTGCGGTTAATAATGTTTATTCAGTTGCAACATGAAATGAGGCAAGGAGATTTGTCACGAGCTATCTGTAAATTATCCATTCCTCTAATCCTTTTGTGCACTCCACTAATAACACTAAGATAACTAATAAATACTTCCAAATATTTTCCTATATATCCCAGAAAAAAGAAAGATTTGAATAATAATGGAAACAAAAAATGACAAGTCTAGGGATAGATTTAATTGCCTTAAAATAACAGTTTTATTAAGAAAGACATGTAGTTTAAATAGCAAGAAACTATATGTTCTTAAATAATGAAATAACCAAATACATTAGGAGTTTTGATCCTCACAAACCATTATATAAATTTAATTATATCACAAAGCTTAAATTAAAATTATGAGTAAATACCAGAACTCACCTTTCTATCTTTATTTATTTTTTTAATATATATATTTTATTGTGTTTTTTTTTTTTTTTTTTTTACTGAGAGGAAGGGAGACAGATAGAGAGCTAGAAATGTCGATGAGAGAGAAACATTGACCAGCTGCCTCCTGCACACCCCCTATCGGGGGTTGTGCCCACAACCAATGTACATGCCCTTGAGCAGAATCAAACCTGGGACCTTCCAGTCCACAGACCGATGCTCTACCACTGAGCCAAATCGGCTTTGGCACCTTTCTATCTTTAAAACAAACATCTACTAATTATCAACTATGTGGGAAAATTAGTGTTGAGTACTGAGGCTATAGCAGTGAATAATATACAACTCAATCTTTTAAATTCTTTGAGAATATAAGTGTGAACAAATATGTACAGAATTTGGTAAAAAGATAATTGCTTTGTGTTTAATCAGAAGCTCACTTTCTAAAATCATGTCCTATTCTAATTTCCTCAAACACCACTGAGCTCTGAAAAACCAAGTGTCACATTTTTTAACAATAAACAGAACATATAGAACATAGAAAAAAAACTGTCACATTTTTGTCACAAATGTAGAAGAAAATTAATAGAAATCTGTAATTTACTAAAATTTTTCAGAGATCTATTAAATAGCAGGTGTTGCAGGAGAAGACTTGATGAAATGAAAATGCTCAATTCAAGATATACATTTCAATAAAAAAATACACTAAAAATTGATGGAAAGGTAATTTAACTGTTGGCAATATTATCTGCTTACATAGTTATCAATTTCTCATTTTGTATTATACATATTTTCTTTAATTGCCATGTAATAATTTATAATCAGAAAAACATCACAAATGCTTTTCTCAAAATACAACATTTAAAAGTCCAGTCGTAATAAAGATTGCTATATTGATGATAAGGGCTTTTTTTATAGGACAGGAGATTGAATAGCAAATATAAAGTCATCTTTAAGGCCTAAGTTTCAAAATTAAACATTAATAATTCACTTCAAAAATCCATTATGCAACAATCACCCTACTGTATGTTCTAACCCTTTCTGGGTCATCTTGAAACGTGCCTCTTATTAAGTGTTTTTTACCAACACATTGTTTTCCATTTGCAAATAAGCAATAAGACAAATGCTGTGCCTGAAGGTCTGTCCCAGGCAGAGGGGGCTGCCCCACTCGCAGGTTTGTGTACAGGATGCAGGTGCCTGGGAAGCGATGTGCATCCGCTGCACAGAAGTAGACGGCTGAGTCTCCAGGTTGGGTGTCTGCGATGTGCAGGGAGAGATGTTTGGCCGTTTTATTCAAGAAAGCAGTGAGTCTTCCAACTGGGTTTTTGTCCACAGTTGAACGAATGTATATAATGAACTGGGGACCTTTTCCAGGTTCTTGCTTATACCAAGGAAAGTAGTCTGAGCCACTGTCTGAATAAGAACAGGTGATAACAGCGGTGTTTCCCTCCTGAACACTCAGGGTGGAACGATGCTGGTCCACTTTCTCTCCATGACTGACCCCTATCCAGAAAGAAAGAGTCAGAGAAAGAAGGTTAACCAGATCATTAAACTTTATCATTTTATTTTTCTGCAGAAACTAAGAAACCTGAATAAAGCCAGTGTTGCTTCTACAGAATATCCACTAATATATTCTGTTTCCCATAAACCCTCAACTCACAGTCCAGCTGCAGCCACAGGAACATGAACAAAACTCCAATGGACGTCTTCATCGTTCTTCCCTCTCAGGGTCAATTGTGGACCTGCAATCACAGCCAGGGGAGCTACTGCTGTTGTCAAGTTATCCCTCCTTTCCTCTGACAGTCAGAGGCTTTCTCACATTCTACCCAGCCAATAAGAAAAACACTCTGCTTCTGCCAAAGCCTATTCATTCAGAACCCACTAAGCTGCACCCTCCACATGTCCTGCATCCGCAGAGGTGCACTGCCATCTTGTGGTTCCATTCACCACTACTGAGCTTGCTGTTCAATGTTCTCTTACCCAGTACCTCTGAGGGACTCAAAACCGCAATTGGACAAATAAATTAAGTCCGATAAGAGAATAAGGAAGAATAGAGAGATCAAGGTTTGTTACTCTGCATACTATTGAGTCCTTGTTAATATTGTGGAGTCAGATGCTGTTGGTATTTATTCTACAATGGCCTGGGTTTACATGTTTGAAATCTGGAAAATGCAATGGTTCATTCTCTTAAGAAAAAAAAAAGAAAAAAAAAATGACAGCTCTTCAAGCTGTCATACATAAACACAATGGAATACAACTCAGCCATAAAAATAATTAAATCTTACTTTTACAACAGTGCAGATGGACCTAGAGTGTATACTGCTAAGTGAAATAAGTCAGATAGAGACAAATGCTATATGACTTCACTTACATGTGGAATCTAATGAATAAAAGAAACAAACAAAGTAGAAACAGACCCATAGATTTAAACAGACAGGCTAGGTAAAAAAAAAAAAAAAAAAAAAAAAAAAAAAAAAAAAAAAAAAAAAAAAGTAGTGAAGGGCTTAAGCAGTACAAAATAGTAGTTACAGATTAATCGTAAAGATGTAGATTACAGCATAGAGAATATAGTCAATAATATCGTGATAACTATGTATGGGTCCTGGTGAGTGAGCCCTTGAAGCAGCATGAGGACCACTCTAGAAAGTACATGATTTTCTAAGCCCTTTGCTGTACTTCTGAAATTAATAAAAAATAATCTGGAATGTAATCTGGAATTGAAAATTTTTTTAAGTTTAAAATCCCTTCCTTTTTAGCTAAACCTGCCATCCTCATTTGTTTGTTATGAAGGAAAGCTCTTTCTAAAAGGAATATGTAAGGAAAAGATTAGAGTTTGAGGGAGAAGATCATTGGATATTTCAAGTCCCTACTATCTCAAAGTCCGCTCCTCTAAGCTGATCTTGCCTGTGACCTTGCTGTTCCCAGAGAACTGACAGTACCCAAGTGAATATTAGGAATCTTTCCTCAATTAAGATGACTGTGATTAAAAGTAATGGATTGAATCTCCATGATAAGGGAGCAGGGGATATCTTCCATGAGTTATTAATATTTCAACCATAGGAAACAATTTGACCCACAGGTTGGGTTGAATTGCAGTGAGAAATCTGACACACATTAGGAAACCTATCTGAGGCCCTGGCTGAGTAGCTCAGTTGGGTAGAGCTTTATTCCGACTCCAAAATGGTGAGTCTAATCCCTAGGCTGGGCACATGCAAAAACAAACCAATGAATGCATAAATAAGTGGAACAACAAGTCAATATTTCTCTCTATCTTTCAAATCAATAAATAAATTTAAAAAGAAATCTATTTCAATGCTGTGTGTCTTATATTCCTCAAAGTATTTTAAAAAGTACAGCTTCTGAGAAAAATCAAACTACATGTAAGTTTATTTTTGGCATGGTTTAATTTGCTTATCAAGATGGATAACATGTCCTAAAATACAATTACTAACTCATATCCTTAGCAGAATTTTATCTAAAGTATAATCCAAGGATCCTGCCTCTCTGGCCATCGCTGTATCAGATTTCACACTATCATTTTTCTCCCAAACTCCATTTCACTATTCTTTCCCGGAGACACTGATAAAGTCCTTCAGTCCTGTGAGTTTCCAGAATTATCTTTCTCTACCAAAAACCATTTCTTATCCACTTTTACTTCTTGATTGCCTGTATCTGCTAAGGGAATAGTACAAACAGGAACTAACCCTAAATGGTCCCTGGGAAACCAAGACTACCTCATTTCCAAGTGGGAGCTCTTTTCTGATTATTTGAACTCACTGTTTCTCTGGAATTACAAAGAATAAATCTGATTTCTCTTCCATATCTCACACCCTTAAAGATTTAAAGACAACTATGTTAAAGAATATCAACTGAATAGCCTATCTAATAAAAGAGTAATATGAAAATTGACCAGACCTCTGCTACACCCACAAGCCACGCCCACAAGCCAATCAGAGCAAGTATGCAAATAAACCCAACCAAGATGGCTACAGCCACAGAGAGTAGGAGGGAGGCTTGGGTTTCCCAGGCAATGGAAAAAGCCAAGCTTTCCACCTGCCCTTACAGACCTAGGCCTCCACTTCAAGCTACAAAGTTTCAATTATAGAAGGTAAACAAATCCAAACAGAAATGGCGGCAGCCACACAGCAAGCATGAGGCTTGGCTCCACTTCAGGCTACAAAGTTTCAATAGTAGAAGGTAAATAAATTCCAGATACCAGGGCCTCTGCTTGGGTCACCAGGGGGCGTGGCCAGCCTGCAAACCACCACAGGCCCCTCACCCAGGCCGCCCCATGCCCCAAGGGAACCCCCACCCTGATCTGGGACACCCTTTAGGATAAATCAGTTGGCATACTTTTATTGACCAATGTAACCCCAATAAATTCAATTAAAAATAAAATAAAGAATGGAAAAAGCGCCATTAGGTTATATTTTTAGTGGATCCAGTTTTTTGAAATGCTTTAACTCTTCATGCAAATCAGTTTCATGTAACTTTGAGTTTAATATGTTTTGGGGTGTTTTTGTTGTTGTTGCTCTATGCATTTATGAGAGAATATTAATGTAGCAAAAAGAGAACAGAAGCTCACAAACACTCTGCACAGTTTCAGGAGATGCATTGCAGAAAAAGAGAGGCTAAGGACAACAGCATCCTAGGGTCTTGGTGGATGTATTCTTGGAGGAGATGGACCTCTGATCCCTGGCATAGGGAGGAAGGGGGAAGCAGGAGAAAGGAGGGGAGGGAGACTCATTCATGGAGGAGGCATGCCTATCAGTGTCCCTTGAGTTGGAGGAAGCCCAATGGGTGGGCCTATAGGTGGTCTCATACCAGGTGGAGGAATCATAATGCCTGGAGGAGGGAGTTGCCCAACCTGGTGCTTCTGAGTTGGGGCTTCAGCAATGGCAGCAACAGTGGCAGCTGCAACAGTGCCTCATCCCTGGGGAGTCGTTACTTGTGGGAGGTTTCCCCAACCCCTTGGACAGGGCCTGCTAATCCTGCAGGAGCCTGTGGAATAGGAACACCACCTAGTACTCCTCTGCCAGCTACCCTGCCAACCCCAGGGCCTCCTGCAGCTCCACAAGGGGTTCACCAGAGATCCCACTATCTTGGCGGGAGGTTCCTCCACAGTCATGAACACCAGGTTCTCCCGAGCAGCAACACCAGACCCAAAGCCCACTTCTCTTCTCACTCAGGCTGCTTCGCATTCTCTGGCTTCATCTTCTTGAACTCATCACAATCACAGAGGATCAAGTTCATGTGCTTATCAAAGGCCTTAAAGGTGCTGATGAAGATGTATCTGTCCTGCAGGTTGCAGCACATGTGGTAGTCAATGTGCTACAGCATCTTGCTGCTCTTCCCCACCGTCATGATTGCGGTTCCACCAAGTCCGACGTCCACATTAAGTGTCAGGGTCATTAAGACCTAAGGGAAGGTAGAGATAAAGATATGACGCAGGTTCTGCTGCAGACAATGTAGGCAAGCTGGGGCAGAAGCTTCCAACAGTGAGTGGAGACTTTTTTTTTTTTCTTCCTCCAGTCATTAGGGTCAGAGAAAAATTAAGAAAAAAGAACAGATTTTTCCAGTGTACCACCTCCCCCCACATACATATAACATCCCTCATTATGAACTTCCCCACAGAGTGGTATAATTCTTACAATTGATAAGCCTACATTGACACATTTATGATCACCCAAAGTTCATGGTGTACCATCAAGAGGTTTACTCTTTGTGTTGTATGTTCTGTGGATGCAAATTGTCCCCTGGACAGGGTGTTCCCCTGGGGGTTCAACCAGGGGGTGGGGCCCGCTGGCCAACCAGGGGAAGGGAGGCCCCGGCTATGGACCCTACTGGTGCACAAATTTTATGCACTGGGCCTCTAGTGTGTAATAACATGTATCATCATTATGGTATCATAGAGGCTAATTTCACCAACTTATAAATTATGTGTGCTCTTCTGAGTCATCCCTCCAACTTCCCTCAGCCCCTGGCAACCACTGGTCTTTTTACTGTACCCATAGTTTTACCTTTTCCAGAATGAAATCATATAGTACATGACCTTTTCCAGCTGGCTTCTTTATTTAGCAATATCCATTTTACTTTTCCCTCTTTTTTCATGGCTTGATAGTTTATTTCTTTCTTTTTATTATTAAATGATACTACATTATTTGAATGGACCACCATTTATTAACCCATTCACCTATTGATGGACATATTGGAGGTTTCCAAGTTTTGGCAAACTTAGAATAAAGAGGCTAAAAGCACTGATGGGAAGGTTTTTGTGTGGACACAACTTTTCAACTCCTTTGGGTAAAACCCAGGAACATCATTACTGGGTTGTATGGTAAGAGTGCATTCACTGTTATAAGAAACTTCCAAAATGATTTATTGAGGTGTCCATGTATATACTTAAAAAAAATAATAATTCCTTATTGTTGAAAGTTCTGCATATGTTCTCTTTTTCCCTCACTGACCCCCTCCAGCCCGCCACTGCCCCCTGCCCCAGGCCTTTAGCACCTTATTGCTTGTGTCCATGGGTTATGCATTTTTGCATACAAGGTCTTTGCTTGATTACCTCCCACCCCCACCCCACCTTCCCTCTATGTAGATGAAAGGTTAGAACACAATGCCATATACAGATGATACAAGCCTACGGGGGACCAATGATGTGAACATGATTAAAAGTGAGTCTTACACAGGCAGCCAGTACAATCTGAATTGCTAAAAATGGTAGGACCATTTTTTAGGGCAGTTTTTCCCCCCAAATTTTATTGCTTAGGCTTTCTTGAAGCAGATATTTATTAAGGTACCATACACCATGACTAATATACTGGGGAAATTATATATATATATATATATATATATATATATATATATATATATATATAAATGATCTAAAATAATAAAAGTGTAATATGCTACTAATTAGACCAGACAGCCGAACAACCTTTCAGACACCATTCCGGATGCCATTCCAGACAACCTTCTGGATGAAACCACGGTGGTGGGGGCAAGGGGCAAGGCAGAGGCAGTTAGGGGCCATCAGGCAGGCAGGCAGAGTGGTTTGGGGTGATCAGGCAGGCAGGCAAACAGCTATGGGAGATTAGGCAGGCAGGCAGAGGGTTTAGAGGTGATCGGGCAGGCAGTGAGCAGTTGGGGCATCAAACAGGCAGGCAGAGTGTTTAGGGGTGATCAGGAAGGCAGGCAAGCAGTTAAGGGAGATCTGGCATGCAGGCATAGGTTTTAGGGGTGATCAGGCAGGCAGGTGAGCAGTTAGAAGCAATCAGGCAGGCAGGCAGGCAAATGGTTAGGAGCCAGCAGTCCCAGATTGCAAGAGGGATATCTGACTACCATTTTAGGGATTCCTGCAGGATTGGACCTAAACAGGCAGTTGGACATCCCCTGAGGGGTCCCAGATTGTGAGAGGGTGCTGGCCAGGCTAATGGACACCCCAACGTACCTCTAGTATATTATAAAATTGTACACCTGAAATTTATGTAATGTGAATAACTAATGTCACCTTGATAAGTATAATTAAAAATATGAAATAACCTGCCCTGGCCAGGTACCTCAATTGGTTGGAGAGTCATCCGATACATCAAAAGGATGCAGGTTTGATCCCAGGTCAGGGATATATGGGAGACAACTGATTATGTTTCTCTCTTACACTGATGTTTCTCTCTCCTTTCCTCTCTTTCTGAGATCAATAAAAATTTCCTCAGATGAAGATTTTTTTAAAAAAGAAATTACCTAAATGGATACTTTTGTAAGTAATATACATAAACACATTGTACAAATTAATTGATCGAAATAATAGATAATGCAATAGACTGTTCTATACCAGGTCACTCAAATTATAACCTCTCATGTCATACCATCTTCAAAAATTTATTAATAATTTGAGTTCAAACCAGTCATTTATATACTACAATTCTCACTTTATCCATGTGTGAAATGAGAGTATTTATTTACAGTGTTATTCAGTATTAAAATATATAATATATGTAATAAGCCTGATTGAGTGACCATCATTCAATAAAACTTTTTCTTATATTTGGTATTTCCAGGAGAATAAGTCTAATAAAAACTTTAAAAACCATTACACAGGCTCCTTCCTTTTGCCTTGAAAGTAGAACCACCTGCAGTTAACTGAGAAACTGACTCGTCTCCTTCTGCTTGTTCACCATTGTGTATTTTTCAAAACCTTTTTCAGCAGAGTAATTTATATGTCATTTCTGTACTACTTGCAAGGGGACCTGCTTTGCCAAGAAATTAGTTACTGATATCTTTATCAGTTGTTTTGTTATTCCATATTAGAGCTTTTTACCTAAAAAGTGATTTCAGAGAAGAAATAAGGCCCCCCAAAAAGGTGAATGTCAGAGCTGAAGAGTCCAATTTTAGGACAGAAACAAGTTTTGGATCATATATTTGAAAACCCAAAGATGTGCAGAGCCAAATGTGAGGCCACAATGCCTGCCTGTGGAAGGGGTGGGGCTGCAGGCCCAGCTGCAGTTTGGGTACAGGCTGCAGATCACCTGGCAGCACTGTGCATCCGCTGCACAGAGGTAGGTGGCTGAGTCCTCCAGTGTGGAGGCTGTGATGTTCAGGGTACTGTACAGGTCCTGGGTATCCACTGTGGCACTTAACCTTCCATTGTGCTCCGTCCCTGGACTCATGTGAAATAGAGTGATGAGGTCTCCCCCAGGATTCTGTCGGAACCACAGAACTTTGTACATAGTATTAGAAAAGGTGCACCTCAGAGTAGAGCTGGTTCCCTCCTGGAAGCTCAGGGCTGAAGGACTCTGCTCCACCTTCATCCCTCTCAGCCCTGCTTGGAAAGAGAAAAACAAACACATATGAGGTCACTGGGATAAAGGATGCTGTTTCTAGACCTGTAACATATCTCAAGAAACACCCAAATGGGACTGTATAGGAACTCTGTGTCAGTTCTCCCTTCCCTCACTCCCACTGTCAGATGTGGAACACTCCCCAGCTCCCCATCTGGGACACCCAACTCACAGCAAACCTGGGCCCACAGAAGCCCCAGCAGAACCCCCAGGTGTCTCTCCATGACTTCTTGCCAAGGTGCCCTGGTTCCTTTGTCCCTGCTCTGGAGGGAGTAGAGTCCTGGACCAAGGCAAATTTGTTCCTACACTCAGTACATGTCACCAAACTCACTGAGAACTAATCACATCTCAGCTCTGTCATTCATCTTAACTGTAAACTCCACCCACATTGGCTTATTGAGATGTCTCCAAAATTCTGGGTAAAAAAAACAGTTCATGATGTTAAGAGGCAATATATACAAATTATAGAGACATAAAGTTTTTTTCCCCTTAAAGCACTTATGTATAAGAAGTTTGTGGTTAGTGTTTGAGGAACAGTGTGTGATGTTTCTGAAATACTCAATTTCTCAGTAGGTTATGAAGAACCTTGAAGAGACCTAGGAAGTATAACCCCATTTCCCAAATTACATAGTTTGATGAAGAATTTGAGAATTCAATTATATAAAAATTCTGGATAAAGAAAAACTATCTCAGCATGTATTGCAGAAATAAATTATTTTCTTGACATCAGGAGAGTTCTGGAAAACAAAACATGAAGATATATTAAATGGTAGTATATCTGTGATAATGCAATACTTTTCCGGTTAGTGGTTTTTGGTACATTAGTCCTAACAATTAAAAAAATGAAAACAGGTTACAGAGATATTTACTGTTAAGCTTCCATGCTCACAATGACCAGTAACATTCTTACCCCTATATTTCTGCTCAGATAATCATTCTCACATGGATTTATAAAGTAAGGACTCCAGCTCTCTGATGTTTACATAAAGTGGCAGAGCTGAAAACCTAAGATGAACTTTACACAAACACTGTTTCTCTCTCTGCCCCACCCATCCTCCTTTATGCTGTCTATAATTTGGCTCACATGCTCATCTTTCTCCTCTCTTAACTGTTTAACCTATTGGAACCATAAGTCACTAATAAAAAGCCTACAGTGCCCCCTAGTGGGCTAAAATCATCAATATAGAGGATTTCAGACCGGCTAACTCAGCAGTCACACAACCCAGCACCATTCACTCCATGTTACCTGATGAAGGAAATGCAGTCAGAAAACAAAGTAACTAACTAGATAGAATGGGGATAATTAATGAACCATATCCTACTTTTAAAATTTTCATTTTATGAAAATTTATATCTTAAAATACTTCAGTAAGACTCATGGTGTGCTCCTTATTTTCTTTAATTTGAAATAAATTCATAAACATTCAATTAAAGTTTTAGTGTGAAGGGGATAATTTACCAGATCTTAAGAATGTATAGTGAATCCAAGATGGCTACAGCATAGTGGTTATTACATTATTCTCCCCCCAGTACTAAACCAGATTCACAACTAAATTATAGATCAATCGACATGAAGACCCACTGAAGATTAGCTGAGTGGAAATCTTATAACCAAGGATTTACAGAGGGATTTATGGGTAAGAAAACCAGAGATGCACAAAGGGCTGATTCCACACCATGTGCAGCGGTTGAGAATCTGGAGAGCTTTCTAGCTGCAAAGGCACCATGAGGAGCAAAGGTTCCCAACCCCATGCCAGGATCTTCTGGTCAGAGCAGCAGAGCCAGGAAGAGGAGCTGGCTGTGAAAATCAGTGGGGGTTCTTTCCACCAGGAAAAGATGGGAGTCGGCTAGAGACCCAGGTGCTCTCTGAAAGGGCCAGTGCATGGGATCTTGTTCTCAGCCACACACAGGGCTTTGTGAAGGGAAGGCGACTCGGAACAAGCAGATTCATACAGGGAAAACTAGGTTGGGTGGCCAGAGGAGAGACCTGGAGGAGGGTCAGCCCCAAAGGTGCCTGTGTTAAATCCTTATTCTACACCACCCACAGATGCCATCTTCCTAAGTGGAGCACTCCTGTCCTTACATTACCATCCTGAGGGAGTGCATGAACCCGGTCCTCCTGACTTCCTGTGGCCACACCTTGTCAAGCTCCCAGCCTTCAGAAAAGCCTGCTACAGCTTGGGCCCAGTGTGGGCTGCCTTAGGGAACAATTAAGGAGATTCAGGTGAACCCAGTTATTATTGGAGACTCGGGGTGTCATTGGATTGTGTGGCTCTGGAACAGATGCCATTTCTCTACCTTCTGGGGTCCACGAGGGCTGCCGCCCACAGGAGACCCAAAACTGAGAGTCAGTAGACACCTGCTCTACAGAATCACTCTCCAGGGCTGGGCCTGGCTGCCCGCTTTCAGGCAAAGAAAGTAGATCACAGAGCTCTGCCCCTGATTAGACTCCCAGATTTCCCCTCCTGTTGCCCTTGGATTGTTTCCAGGAGTATATTATCTGTAGGCCAAGAGCAGTTGCAGTAAAAACACAATTTGTTGTGTGACTGAATCCCAGGAGGAGTGCTTGGGCTAGACTCTTGGAGGTCAGGGACTGCCATTTCTGTCAGGGAAGAACAAACCTCTCTCCCAAGCAGCAAAGGTAGTACAGCCATATGTAAACCACATAGGCTCAAAACTGTGAGGCCACAGGCGGGGGGGGGGGGGGGGGGGGGGGGGGGGGAGAATCTTGCAATTCAGCGCCATCTACTGGAACAAAGTAGAAAGATCTCAAAGATAAGGAGAAAACAAAGGAGAATAAGGAACAATATGAACAATCACAACAACGATGATCAGAAAGAAAATGGAGAGCGGGGGAGACAAAAAACAGAAAGTAGGCTGGAACAAACGGAATTAAGTAAATTGAATGACAGAGATTTCAAGATTGCAGTTCTGAAAATACTCAATGAGATACGAGAAAATACTGATAGGCAACTCAGCTCATTCATTGAAAACAAATCAATGAATAAAATGAGTATTTCTCCAAAGAAAATGAATTATTCAAAAAGAATATAACAGAAATCCTGGAAATGAAGCATACAAAGAAATTAAGAATGAACTGATGAGCATAGAAAACAGACCAATCAATCAGTTAGAAAAAAGAACTAGTGATATTGAAGATAGGAATCAAGAAATGATGCAGATGGAAGAGAAAGACCTGAGGAAAAAAAAAATACAAAATAGCCCTACAAGACCTCTCTGAATCCATAAAAGGAAAAAAAAAAATAACATCAGAATCACAGGCATAGTAGAGGAGGAAGAGAGAGAATATGGAATGGAGAGTCTACTAAAACAAATAGTGGATTAGACTTCCCAAATCTATGGAAAGAACTAGATCCACGAATCCAAGAAGCAAACAGAACACCTAGTTACTTCAATCTAAAGAGGCTCTCTCTAAGAGATTTTGCAATGAAGCTGTCAAAAATTAGTAACAAAACAAACAAACAAACAAAATAACCCTCAAAGCATCCAGAGAAAAGAAGTGACTAACAAAGAAAAACCCATCAGAATTTCACCTGACTTCTCAGCAGAAACTCTACAAGCCAGAAGAAGGTGGAACCAAATATTCAAATATCTGAAAGAGAGAAATTACCAGTCATGCCTGTTATGACCAGCAAAATTATCCTTTAAATATGAAGGAGAAATAAGAACTTTGCCAGACATACAGAAGCTGAGGGGTTTCATCACTAGAAAACCTCCATTGCATGAAATACTCAAGGGAGTTATTATACCTGAAACAAAGAACATAAGGTCTTTCACTACTAATAAGATTGCCAAAAACTTGAAGCATAAACAGCGATAATTTGTGACAATAAAAATATGCAAGGGGAAGAAGGAGAGGAATGGACAGGCAAAGGAAGATGAAGATCAAATAAACTCAGAAGGGAAAAAACTATTGTATATATGATATTTCACTTTTTATAAAACTAATGGCAAACACACAGAGAAATTCCCCAGATAAGACATACAGCTTTAAAAAAAATAAAAATAAAAAAGAGGAAAGATGTATGAAATACCACCAAACAAAAACAACAGATAGAAGCATGGAAGAAAAGAACCAATGGAAGCACAGAGTTACCAGAAAACAAAAGATAAAATGTCTATAGGAAATCCTTGTACATCAATAATTACCCTAAATGTATATGGTCTAAATCCATCAGTAAAAACGCACAGAGTAGCGGAGTGGATCAAAATACAAAACCCAACATTATGCTGCCTACAAAAGACACACCTAAACAGCAGAGGCAAAGGTAGATTCAAAGAAAAAGGGTGGAAAATAATTGTCCAAACAAATAACAGCTACACAAAAAAATAGGTGTAGCTATACTTATATCGGATAAAATAAATCTCAAGATAACAAGAGACAAAGATGGACACTTTATAATGATAAAAGGACACTACATCAAGAAAACATAACACTTCTTAATATACATGCACCCAACCAGGGAACACCAAAATATATTAAACAGCTACTCACAGAACTAAAGGGAGAAACAGATGAAAACACAATTATAGTTGGAGACCTTAATACCTTATTGACAGCTCTAGACAGACCAATCAAACAAAAAAATCAATAAAGAAATATCAGCCTTAAATGAAATCCTAGGCCAAATGGATATAATCAACATTTACAGAACATTTCATCCCAAAACATCAGAATATACATTCTCCTCCAGTGCACATGGAGCATTCTCAAGAATAGACCATGTTTTGGGTCACAAAACAAGCATCAACAAATTCAAAAAGATTGAAATTATTCCAAGTATATTTTCTGACCACGATGCCATGAAATTAGAAATCAACCGCAAAAAGGAGATTAAAAAAAACAAACAAACTACAAATATGTGGAGATTAAACAACATACCACTAAAAAATGACTGGGTCAAAGAAGAAATTAAAAAATGAAATTAAAGGATATATAGACAAACAAGAATAATAACACAACATATCAAAACCTCTGGGATGCAGCAAAAGCTGTAATAAGAGGAAAGTTTATATCACTATGGGCCTATCTTAAGAAACAAGAGAAATTCCAAATAAACAACCTGACATCACATCTAAAAAGACTAGAAAAGAAGAACAAAAGCAACGCCAAGTTAACAGAAGAAACGAAATAATAAAAGTCAGAGAAGAATTAAATGAAATAGAGAACAAAAAGATTGTAGAAAAAATGAATAAAACAAAGAGCTGGTTCTTAGAAAAAAATAATAAAATTGATAGACTCCTTGTTATACTCACTAAGGAAAAAAAAAGGGGGGGGGGAAGATCCATATAAA